ATAAAATATATATTTTTTTTATTTCTATTACTGATACGGCAACAGAATAACCAAAAAGTACATCGACTGTTATTTGGCTTACTAAATACACAAGAAAATATAATAATAACATAATTACAAAACTATGATTTTTTTTTTCTCTAAGAATGTTAATTATATGTAAAAATATAATAATACAAAGCGTTCTTGAGTAATTTATTCACAATTATTTATTTGCTTATTCCAGGCCATGAAAACCCTCTCACATTAATTGTGATGCAGAATGAATGTGTTTCAGTGTGAATATGGAGTCTAACACTTTTATTGCCTATAAACCTCAAAGAGTTATTTTTTTTATGTGTTTATGATTGTTAGCAGAATTAATTGAAGATGAATTACAACAGCCACGTCTTTCTAAGCCCAACTCCTCCCATTCGTTTAGCAGATTTATTGCATGCAGTGATCGATGATCTACATTTCAGGCTGTTAATTAGTGAAGGTACAATACTTTGACAAGAAGAACAGGCCATAAACAAATCAGCAAGGAGTAGCGGAGATGGAATATAACCCAGGCTGGGACGTGAGACAAGAGCAGAGATCTTCCCTGATTGCTGCCTTCATTCATTTGGGGCACAGGCGAGGTGAGATTTATACCTGTAATCAGCGTGTGGGGATGATACAAATAAAACAAATAATGATATCTTCACATAGACAGCTTTTTTTGAAAACATACCTTTCACTTTTTAAAAAAAATTCCCGTCCACACAAACAGTGGTTTCAAAAATGCAAGGGTGAGTCACGGTTTTTTATTGTGTATTGTTTTTTGCAGATAGGTATCTCAAAAGTGTCTTAGTACAGATCATTAGAGAAGCATTACTAATTCAGTGGAAACGTATAAAACATGATATTTAAAGGTGAAATCGGCAAGCGCCCAGCAAAGCAAGATAATTTGCCTGTGAGGAAAAAAATGTCGAGAAACACAAGAATACCAGGATAGACACTGGAAGCACTTTTCCACGATGGACTAACTTATTACTATTACGTTGCTCCTGGACAGGTCTGTAAACGCAATCTGTATAAAGCTCTAAATGATTTTAATGGCTGGCTTTACATAACACGTCAAGTAGATACTTTTTTTGTCTCACTGCAAAAGAAACAGAAGAGCCAAAACACTCAGGACCATTCTCATAAATCAGTATGAGCTGAATTTCGCATGGATATAGTGTTATAGCTTAGCTTTCATGCAGCTGAATGTCCGAGTGTGCTTGTAAGCGACGTCATGACAGCCTTGCAAATGCTAACTCTAGTAAGCAGGCTAAATCTAGTTGAACCACTCTAGGTTCTGGGCTCCGAGCTTTGTATTCATGGGCAAGAAGGATGGGGCTCAAGGAGTAAAAAAAAAAATCATTTAAAGCTCCACTTATTTTAATATAAGAGACCTAATCTTGCATAACTTTGACAAATCTTTGCCTAATGCACCTTTAAATGAAGCCACATCAGAGATAAACAGAAAAAAACACGTGCATTGTGTGGTTTTTCTGCGACTGGTGTTATGGAACACTGCATTTATTGTACAGAAGTCAGACATGAAAGACGGCTGTATAAAACAATGACGGTTTTACTTTCACCGGTTATGCATAAACAGTCCAGTTAACATGAGAGAGAGAGAGAGAGAGAGAGAGAGAGGGAACGAGAAACTCCACTCATTAAAATCAGAAATAGGATTAGAAGATTAATCTCTGTGCCTGTGTGTACCTCCTCGCAGTGTTATTCCCACTGTTCCTCTTCATTCATTAATTACTGAGGGGTGTGATTACACACCTCTCATCACACTCCAGTGCGCAGCAGCGCTCACACTCCCAACACGTTCATTCGCTCACACTGACTCATGGACATGTTACACACATGATTAGACGAGTGCAGCCAAGGTCCACTAAAAACTGTAAAACTCACATACGGAGGCACAGAGAAACGGTTTCTCAGCACCGTGAGTCCTAAAATTGTTATTCAGAAACAACATAGCCAAATAGCTTGAATAAAATTAGATAAAACAATAAAATAAAAATGCAAATACTATGTGTATTTAGGTTTTTCCATCAGTTATAAAATTCAGCTTTAGCTTCAAAACCTCTATTTTTGTTTTCCACACTTTTATTAATTCATTAATGCCATTTCTCCATCGTGACTCTTTTTTTTTTACACTTCAGCTAATAAGACAATAGGTATTAATTGATTTATTTATTTTATTTTTTTTTCATGTAAATTATTACCTGTTAACATGGGAATGTTTTTGGTAATTACAGTAGTCAACTCCAAATATATTGGCACCTTCAAACATTCCACACGACGTGTATTATCGCTTAGCAATCGTTTAGTTGCCACCAGATTTGCAAAAGTTTCACTGAAAGTTCCAGAGAAAACTGAAAAAGACCACACGGTGACTAAACAGTGACGGAGCACCTCCTAGGTGTAGCATGCACTAAATCTTCCAGTAACGCAGCTCAGCCATTGCAGTGCATCAGCAGACACACAACAACTCCTCCTCCTTTTAAAAGATGCCATTACTTTTGTCATAACTGAACAGTTAGTCTTATTTGAGTTGATTTTTTTTTTACATTTGTTTTGGAATCACTTTCTTTCTAGTCATTAATATGAAGCAACCGAGAGTTTCAGAGTGTTCATTAAATTGGTGTAATTAAAATAAATAAGTGATTTAAACCTGACAGCATCATCTGTATAGAAAAGCACAATAACTCCTCGACAATTACATGCAGACGTTAGTAAGTCTCCTTGTATGTAAATTTACGCAGACTCAGGAGAGAAATGTAGCATATGAACATTTCATGCACACATTTCTTGTGTAAATGCCCCTGTGAAGTTGATTTAAATTCACGTTACAAGAAAACTACTTACCTTTTTTCTAGCAAAAATGGTTCAGTATGTCAGTAATAATACACATTAATACACAGTTTGGATAAAAGTCCTTCATCAGTGAAGCTCTTTGCACCCTCCATCTCTCTTTCCTTGGCTTACAACTTAATTTTAGAATTATCCACAAGCTCTGTGATTTAGTGATGTGCCCCTGGAGAGCATCTTCCAGAGCTCATCTATTCTACTTCAATTTGGAGAGATCGGTGTGCTTATCAGCGTAATTGAAGCCTGTGATTGCAATCTCATTACTGCAAAGACAAAGAAGAAGAAGAAGAAGAAGAAGGAGGAGAAGAAGGCAGGTTGGTGTCTACATTTAGACTGCATGTGTCTGCAAAAATTAAACTGACCATCAGTCCCTCTGTCCATCCTAAGGATCAAATGCACTACACGCACTATCATGCAGGTCACAATCGCACAAATGTACGGACTGAACGGCAATAAGGTCAAAGGACCGTATCGAGCCAGCGACGTGCTGTAAGTCCAAAAGTTACTGTAAGTCAACATTAATGTGAGGAAAGTTTTCAGAGTTGGGTTATGCATTTGCAAATTATTAAAAATGACCTACATGTAGTTCACACCAAATCGGCTGCTTGAGTAGAAGCCTCAGAGAATGGGTTTTTCAATAACATCTAGACCACTGATGTTA